GCTATGATCAGTATAATTTTACTATAAAAGTAGCCACAGCAGAAACGAGACTTCAGCTTAAAGATAGTCAGTCAGTCTACGGTTACGTTCGGTCACATACATTTGAAATCCATATTATAGAAATTGTATTAATTTTGAAATAAAAGTGTTTTTAAAAACGCAAGTTTCAAATTAATCAATAAAATTATATGTATCATATTTTACATCTAATTTAGCAGGTTTGCGACTCCTCACGAAAGCTAATTAGAGACAAATAAAACTACCATCGAAATGATTCTTTATCTGAATCTGAATTCTTAGTGAAATTTGATGGCAAATCTGTATTAATGAAAAACAGTGCATTTTCGCAATTTTGGCTCCAACTTTTTAAAGGTCAAGAGTTTCTCGAAAGGCTTGAAAAGGTCTAGTATTTTTATTCGTATCCAGGTCCAATCATTTTTCAAATGAAAAATTGGTCTAATATTCTGGAGCAGTTTACCAAAAACGCATTTAAATCGTTTAGTAAAAAGTTTAAAAAATATGAAGAGTTTTAAGGCTTCTCTGATGCCCCTTAGGTTGCAAAAATCTGCTTCACCTATTAATTATTTCGAACAGCAAACAGTCTTCGATTTTTCGAAAAAATTCCCTTAAAGCTTTTTTCCAAAGACAATCAAACAAAACCTTTCCAAAAACTGTACTTTTCATTTATATTACAGATCTATTGCAGGCCGTCACATTCAATATGGTGAATTTTTTTAATGTAAACATTTTTTGATTAGAGTTATTTTTGAATGATCTGCTTGAATGTTGGGTTGTTTTAGTTCTATTTGTAAGATCGGCTAAAAAACTGCATTTTGCTTGATGATTGATTTCAAAAATCAACACCTATCGACTTAACAGTTTTCAAATCGACTTCCTGCGTTTTCAAAAGTTTTGCAACTTTTTAAAATTTGACAGTTTATGGGAACACTTAATATCAAGAATAGCCAATATAGTCATATAAGTCAAGAAAAAAGGTTGGTCTGATATCATGTTTGCCAAACATTCACTCAAACGGCTTAGTAAACAGTTTTAGAGGTATGCAGGGTTTTAAGGTTTCACTTATGTCCGTTAAGGTACAAAAATCTGCTTCCACTTTTATTTACTTCTACCTACCAACAGTTTCCGATTTTTAGAAAGTCTGCCTTTAAACCTTTTTTTAAGGCAAAACTAACCCAAACATTTCCGAAAACTGTAATTGTCAATTATATTGAACGTCTATTGCAGGCTGAATTCAATATTGTGAAATTTATCAGCCACATTCAATATTGGAAAATTATTTAATGTAGATATTTTTTAATGAAAGTTGTTTTTGAACAATCTGCTGAAAAATTATTTGCGTTCTTTCAATTCACTTTATAGCATGGCCAAAAACCGCACTTTAGTAGTTAGTACCACAATAAAGTGAATAGATAATTTGAATCGAATACAAAACATTCCACAATTTGAAACCGAAAATGAAATTTACGAATATAAATAAACACAAAATCGTTGGAATACAAACGAAGTCACTAAAAATTATAGAAATACTTAATTCTGATTTATTTTCCTGACTGCGTGTACTTGTTATGATATTCCTATCTTTCCTCGGTTGCAGTCAAAGTGTGAAGTCGAAATTTTGAAGCATCGCTTATTTCATTACGTTTCGACGAGGCAACAGCGCCATCATCAGATTTAAAATTTTACACAAACTCATGATTGGTCAAAATCAACGTCCTTTTAGGTCTTTGCCTTCTTGAAAACCTTGAGTTTGTCTGAATTATTTTCTACATTTGCTGCACATGTAGAAAATAATTGACAATAAATAACAAACTTAAGGTTTTCAAGAACGCAAAGACCTAAAAGGACGCTGATTTTTACCAATCATGAGTTTGAATAAAATTTTAAATCTGATGATGGCGCTGTTGTCTCGCTAAAACGTAATGAAATAAACGATGTTACTAAATTTTTACTTCACACTTTGACTAAAACCCAGGAAAGATAGGAATATCATAAGAAATATTTAACAATTTCGGACGATCTCAAACTCAGAAATGCACCAACTTCCTATGGCAGAAGGAAGATTGTACTTGTAGGTACTGTAAAAGGTTTTTCATATTGAAAGTGATTTCAATATTCAGTTAAATTTACATTTTGAGTCACATTTATTCCATTCATTGAGAAAGATTAAGTACATTTCAGTGTATGTATAACACTAGAATTTCAATTAAAAGCGCATGCCGAATATCAAATGGCAAATTTTGCTCACAAAGTAAGTTTTATTGATAGGAAAAAAATCGCCCCTGTCATGAGCTGCACCACATCTTGAATTTTCCTGCATATTATTTTGTAATCCAACTGATATAAAACAGAACAATGCGTATAAATCTTCGCTGCGACAAGTATTATATTCGACAAATATTGTTTATTTTGTTGTTTATATTCCTAATTGTGTATTTTTTTATTACTTCTGTATATATTTAAAATAGAAATTAAACTATTACTATCTTGTGTGTGATGAAGCACGAACGTTCAACAGCGTCCATCCATGTACCTAAAAATCCGTGGCATATCAAACTTTTTTTTTCCGAGTTAACACCTTGTATTGTGTTGTGTATGTTGTGGACAATTCGACAAATAATCTAACTACCAATTGAGCAAACATTACAATGCCAAAGCAATTTGCAATGATTGAAATGCTGATATAGGTCTGCATCTGCAACAGCAAAATCTAATAATTGAATTTCGTCACTTTCAAATAATTATATAACTATGTGTTACATATGGAGTTGCAGAAAAAACGACATTCATCTGGTACTTAATAACTGTACAGTCACCATAAATTCTTATAATTCTAATAACGCATATACAGGGTGAGTTTTTTTCGATGACCAGTACAGGGATCTTCGAAACTATAGCAGTTACGAAAAAGGTTAAATGAACAAAGTATTGTAGTTTTGATTGCTCGTGATACTCGTAAAAAACTCACCCTGTATATAATAATTAATTTCAATGAATGGCCACTATTGATGCCAAAAACGAATTAAAAATGTACATATATGTATATTAATAATTTATTGGGAGCTGCATAGAATGAGCAAAATTGCCCGAAATTGGCTTGGAAAACGCGATTAGCTAAACCGAGCGAGTAAACTGGTAACCGGAAAATAACAGTTCCAGGCTTGGGCTCTTATGGTGCAACAATCGTGCACCGGCTATCGGCGTTAGCGTCGCGACGCGGCTGCGGCGGTGGCGGTGGCGTGGACACGGCGGCGGCTGCGGCGCGTGTCTGACGCGTCTCGTGCCTAACAAGCACCGTCCCCTCCTGCCCCCAACCACCCCGTTGATCAGCACATATCAAAATGGGATCAACTAAATTCCCAACTTGAAAACAAAAACCCAAAAAACCCACACAAACCACAAGAAATACAAAATATCATCCACACAAAGTATCAAAGGTAAACGAACAGTACCCAACTTGTTTTTACTTAAATTTCGTTGATAGACAGAAATTCGTTTTACGGTCCTGTTTTTCGCGACGATTTCGGGGTTTCATCAGTGTGTTTTGTTTAAAATTGGTAAAATTGTGCAGGAGATATTCTAAAAGTATATACAGGGCGGTTTTTAAAACTAGACATACCAATAAAGGTCTAAGGACACTGGGCAATTGGCTTCAGGAGTTGAAGTAGATAGAGGACGACCAAGAGATGTTAGCTTTCCAGATATAGAGGAACAGGTATTATTGGATATCTTCTTCTTCTTCCTCGTACGTTAGGACTCAGAGTCCTGTGTTTTTCTTCAACTTCCTAGTCCTGGGATGCTGATGTC